ATTCAACTCTAGTTTAATTAAACTTAATTAAAGTGCAATTCTCCATTGTATTGCATAGTAATTGAGTTTAATTAAACTCCAATTAAAACGCAACCCTATATAGGAACGCGTTTTAATCGAGTTCATATCGCAACTATATTAAAAGTTAATTCAACTATATTAAAAGTTAATTCAATGGTGGCTCCACAATTCATGGGACACCTGTATACACACATACACACATACACACATACACACACACATACAGACACACTAACTGCAAAGACTCCCATTTTGTGCTTCGCACATGGGAGTCAAAAATGAGGTCATGTGACTACAGACTCATCCAAATCTAGCCATCAATGTATCCAGTTTTTTAGTAAATGCATGTCTAAAATGAGGTCATTTGACTACAGATTCATCCAAATCTAGCCATCAATGTATCCAGTTTTTTAGTAAATGCATATCTAAAATGAGGTCATGTGACTACAGACTCATCCAAATCTAGCCATCAATGTATCCAGTTTTTAGTAAATGCATATCTAAAATGAGGTCATTTGACTACAGACTCATCCAAATCTAGCCATCAATGTATCCAGTTTTTAGTAAATGCATGTCTAAAATGAGGTCATGTGACACAAGTGTGACAATGGTATATGCCATGATGTCACAAGTGTGACAATGATATATGGCATAGTGTCACAAGTGTGACAATGGTATATGCCGTGATGTCACAAGTGTGGCAATGATATATGGTATGTTGTCACAAGTATGACAATGGTATATGTTATGACACACATATGACAATGGTATATGTTATGATGACACAAGTGTGACAATGATATATGCCATGATGTCACAAGTGTGACAATGATATATGGCATGGTGTCACAAGTGTGACAATGGTATATGCCGTGATGTCACAAGTGTGACAATAGTATATGCCGTGATGTCACAAGTGTGACAATAGTATATGCCGTGATGTCACAAGTGTGACAATGATATATGGCATGGTGTCACAAGTGTGACAATGGTATATGCCGTGATGTCACAAGTGTGGCAATGGTATATGCCATGATGTCACAAGTGTGACAATGATATATGGCATAGTGTCACAAGTGTGACAATGGTATATGCCGTGATGTCACAAGTGTGGCAATGATATATGGTATGTTTGTCACAAGTATGACAATGGTGTATGTTATGACACACATATGACAATGGTATATGCCATGATGTCACAAGTGTGACAATGATATATGGCATAGTGTCACAAGTGTGACAATGGTATATGCCGTGATGTCACAAGTGTGGCAATGGTATATGCCATGTCACAAGTGTGACAATGATATATGGCATAGTGTCACAAGTGTGACAATGATATATGCCATGATGTCACAAGTGTGACAATGATATATGGCATGGTGTCACAAGTGTGACAATGGTATATGCCGTGATGTCACAAGTGTGACAATAGTATATGCCGTGATGTCACAAGTGTGACAATAGTATATGCCGTGATGTCACAAGTGTGACAATGATATATGGCATGGTGTCACAAGTGTGGCAATGGTATATGGCAAGATGTCACAAGTGTGGCAATGGTATATGGCAAGATGTCACAAGTATGACAATGATATATGGTATGATGTCACAAGTATGAAAATGGTATATGGCATGCTGTCACAAGTATGACAATGGTATGTAGTATGATGTCACAAGTATGACATTGATACATGGCATGATGTCACAAGTGTGACAATGATATATGGCATGATGTCACAAGTGTGACAATGATACATGGCATGATGTCACAAGTGTGACAATGATATATGGTATGATGACACTAGTGTGACAATGATACATGGCATGATGACACAAATGTGACAATGATACATGGCATGATGACACAAGTATGACAATGATATATGGCAAGATGTCACAAGTATGACATTGATACATGGCATGATGTCACAAGTGTGACAATGATACATGGCATGATGTCACAAGTATGACAATGATACATGGCATGATGTCACAAGTGTGACAATGATATATGGCATGATGTCACAAGTGTGACAATGATATATGGCATGATGTCACAAATGTGACAATGATACATGGCATGATGTCACAAGTGTGACAATGATATATGGCATGGTGTCACAAGTATGACAATGAGGTATGGCATGATGACACAAGTATGACAATGGTATGTAGTATGATGTCGCAAGTATGAAAATGGTATATGGCATGATGACACAAGTGTGGCAATGATATATGACATGGTTGACACAAGTGTCACAACATACCATTGTCATAATTATGACATCATCCATATACCATTGACATACTTATGGTAACATGCCATCTACCATTGTCATTCTTATGACATGCCATATGATATAGCATTGCCACAATTATGACATCATCCATATACCATTGTCATAGTTATGACATCATCCATATACCATGACTTCCCCCATATAGCAAATATCGGCAGATTAATAAAATTTATTTTAATATCAATTGCGCACTAGCTGACTACGGGTACACTGGCGCGCCTCTTGGAAACCTAGAACGCTCCGCTCCCGATAATAGTTAAAGCGGAGGAGTCGTCACCTGCGCATGTGTCAGATTGTCTTAGCATGTCATTGTTCACAAACAAGCGTCTATCCTGGAGCTTTTGCGTTTTTAGCATGAGTTGTTACCGTCGCTTGAGACTCAATTCCCGCGCACGCACAGATGACGACCCTTCCGCTTTAATTAAACTGAGCTTGTTTATTTCTTACTTCCAGGAAATACAATGACCGCACAAGTTTGGCAAGTATGGTCCCTAATGTTGTGGATTCCAAGTTGATCACTAAAACAATACGAATCTTTCTAAGTTCCACATTCACCGATACAACGATAGATCGCAATGTCTTAATGGAAGAAGTATTTGAACCCATACGTGTTATGTGTCGACAGCATGGTGTGGCGTTTGAAATAGTGGATCTGCGCTGGGGTTAGTTATTTCTTATTGTAATGTAGTCGTATCAGTGTTGCCATTTATGGCAATGTGTATTTAACGAGATAATTAGCACTATTAGACAAAGATTAAAAAACACGTCGTACAAATCATTTCAGTAAAACAACTTCAGTATAACGTCCGATCACCCATTCAATCTCATTCAAATGACAGCATGTAAACACTGCTAGTATTGTGTATTCACGTGTGATCCACGATTTTTATGGATAAGATTTCAAGTTCAATATATGTACATCATATTACTATATATTCATATTTTATTATGCCAGGAGTGAGGCGTGAATCAGTCACTGACCATCGTACACTGAATATCTGCTTGGAAGAGGTTAAACGTTGCCAGGAAACATCACTTGGGATAGCCTTCATCGCCATACTTGGAGACAAGTATGGATGGAGGCCACTTCCGCCCACAATTCCCAGCAATGACTTCCTAAAATTTCAAGAACACCTGGACGACAGCGGTCGTGCCTTGTTGAATAAATGGTACCTTCATGACGACAACGCTGTACCAGCGTCCTATACTCTCCAGCCAATCAACAAAGAATTTGATGTCCAGTCGCCGAATGCAGAAACACACGAAAAAGCAATGGAAGAATGGACAAAGGTTGAGCAAAAGATCCGATCGTTTTTATACAGTGCAATTGAAAAAGCCGACCTGAGCGACAACAAAAGACGCCACTATTTAGGATCAGTGACAGAACGTGAAGTGGAGGTCGGCATCATAGAGCTAGAGCACGATGAAGCTACTAAAACGACAATGGCAATAGACCGCCGATTTGAAAATATCGATGTCAAATCAGAGAATGCAAAACTGTACATAAACTTTCAGGTAATTAATTATGGAATACATTGATCAAAGTATTAAATAATAATTGTAAATTATTTTACACATACCAACAAATTCAAATTAAGAAACATAAAACAAATTAGCACAAATATGTATTAATAACTGTGTACAATGTTGTTACCCAGGGCAACGAAGCAGATGAAGATAGTAGAAAACATCTGAAGAAACTAAAAGATGAGGAGTTGTCACCTAAATTGGGACCAGATAGATTTTTTCCATTTCATAATTTGAAATGGGACAATGAAGGCATCAGTATGGATATTCATGGAGATTATATAAAAGGTAAATTAATTTTGGATGTAATTTACTCCATATTAAGAAGAAATTAAATATGTATACTTCTCATTCTTTCGAGGAAATTTCAATATTTTATTCTTGGTTTGTTTTCAATTACAGAAATGTGTGAGAAAGTAAAATCTCTCCTAGAAACTAATGTTAGACGTGTCCTGAGCCAGATTGGACCAATTGATAAACTGGAGGAAGAAATAACTCGACATGCACTCTTCTGTAGGGAACATACCATTAACTTTGTAGGGAGGGCAAGCATACTTTCCAAAATTCATAAACACATTGATGGTGAAGATCCCATGATGCCATTGGTAATTTATGGAGAATCTGGTGTTGGTAAAACCGCGCTGGTATCCAAAGTTGTACGAGATGTACAAAACCGATACCTTGGATCAGATCTTGCTATTATCTACCGTTTCTGTGGTACCTCTGCGGATTCATCTTCTGGTCGTGGATTGATGCTCAGTCTGTGCCGACAGATTGCACGTATCTATGGGGCCAATGAAGAGTCCATTCCACAAACATACTCTGAGCTGATCGAAGAATTCATAAAACTTCTAAACAAAGCAAATGCAGATGTCCCTTTGTTCATTCTCATTGATTCTTTGGACCAGCTGTCTGATGAGAATAGTGCAAGACAGTTCTTGGAATGGCTACCAAGAACAATTCCGAATTATGTTCGCCTCATTGTTAGTACATTGCCAGATGTCGGTGGATGTCTGGATAGGCTGAAGACATTTGGACTACCAACATCCCATTTCATACAGGTAATAGACCATAACACATTCGTCCAAATGGGAAGTGCAATCAAACACCATAAAACATAAAAATAAGACATAAATACATTTTTGTCTTGCCTAACCTGAAACATATTACAAAATAGAATACAGATGAATGTATTACTACATATCTATTCCTTTTCTCTTTTAGATTAACAGACTTGATAAAGATGATGGTCCTGCAATTCTGGATGGCAAATTAAAGAATATTGGCAGAACTTTGACACCCAAACAGCGGAACGTCATCCTAACTGCCTTCAAGAATTGTTCATTGCCGCTCTACTTAGAATTGGCGTTCCAACAATGTCGTGATTGGGCATCCTATAAGTAAGAACAATAATAAACCAATTTCTGCACTAATAGCATGACCACCAAAATGCGATTTCCCCCCGGAATTCCCATGGCTAATTTTGACGTTTATTTGACCTCAATGTAAACTGAATAATATAGTTTATTATATTCAATGATAAGTTTTCTATCATATAACTAAGTCTGAAAATTCAATTATATATTTTCAGGGATATTAGTGAATGTAAGCTGGAGGCTGACGTTGATGGCATGGTTAATTCATTCTATGAGTCCCT